ATATGTTTTTATTTTTTTTATTATTATTATTTTCATTTTTATTTTTTTTAAATTAGCGATAAGGAAAACAGTGTTGAAATTAAGCCAAAATTGACTTTGACATTGCTGGGTCAAAGGCCAGCCAGCTGACAATACCAAGCTGTCTTCACCTTGTAAAAAATCCCATTTTTTTTTTTAATCTATGTTTGAACAATGGCTTGATGTATTTTTGTTTTTTAACACCTTTTGACAACAACACTTAAGGATAGAACCGAAAACAGTTTGTTTGAAATAAGAAATTCACATGAATTACTGAAAACTGTAAAACAACTTCAAAAAATTGAAATTGCAATGAAATATGTAAATGAAATAAATGGTACTTTTAAAAATGTAGTAATGTTGATGGTGAAAATGGCTTAGGATGATGTTCAAATTTTTTTAAGGAGTAAAAAATGCTAATTCAAAATGCTCAGCATGTGTTTCGCACAAAGAATTTGAAATAATGTAATCGACGTTCAGCAGAGAACGCTTACACTCAAGCCATGTGACATTTTATTGCTTGTGACCTTCCATGCTTTTTAATTACAGCCATTTTAACGATTTTTATGAACACAAAATTACATTTCTTAATTACTGCGGATCTTCTGATTAGTCAAAACGATACAATTTACAATGCGCTAAAAAAGATCTATCTCATAAGGACACTAGGAAACGTGATACGGCTTTTGACTAATTTTATAATATTTTAACAACTAAAATGTAAAAATCTATTATAATTAAAGAAATAACAAATAATTGTATTAAAAATTCATTTTTCATCGAAAAAATTTTTTGCTTTCAGAAAATATTGTCCATATTCATAAAAGCAAATAAAAGCATTTGAAATTAAATAATATGTGATTTATTGAGTTTCGTATGCTACAATTCAGAGCTGATTTTCAGGTGGGAGTCCAATTAAAAACAAAAAAAAAAAACATGATTTGCACTCCTCAAAGCCCTGTGCTTTTAAAAAACTATTGTAATCATTAACCTAGACTCGATCAAATTTCTAGCATTTTCATAAAATTAGTTATGGGGGGGTTGGGGGGGGTATTAGTAAATATAAAAAAATATTCCTGCCAGGACTTTAATAAAAAAAAAAAAAACTTATAATAATTTTCATTTGATCATCTGTGAATAGTTCCTGAAAGTTTCATTAACATCCGACAATTATTTATATTTTTGCAAGATTTTCCAAATTAATGTTTGTCATACCAAAAAAACGTGCTAAAAATTGTCTGTTATTTAATTTACTAGTTCCGCTGATACAAAGAGAAACAAAGTTTTTTTAATCAAATTCTCTAAAAAGAAAGAATATTTTTAAAAAATAATTAAAAAAAAAACTTTGGTCTTTCCTCTTAACAATAACATTAACAATAAAATTTTGTTTTCGTCAAGTTTGGCGTCTTTTTTATCATGCTATGCTATTTTTTTTTTTTTTTTAGCGATTTCGTGGAGTGTCCGGTAGGTACCTCTACGAAATGTAAACAAAAAGAGCATAGCATGATGAAAAAGACGCCGAACTTGACGAAAACAAAATTTTATCATCTAACGTTCATATTATTAAAGAGGAAAGATCAAAGTATTTTGGGGGTATGTTTTTACATTTTTAATCGTTCCTAGCACGTCCGAAATTTTCGTTAAAAATCTTGTTTTTTGTGTCAAAAAAAAAAAAAAAAAAAAAAAAAATGAAAAAGAACAGATAATCCATCATTTTCAATCATTTTTTTTTTCCATTTTATAAAAAAGATGAAAATCTGATTTGATAGTCTTTTAAAAATCAATTATCATTTTTTCAAGACTTATTTTAATAGAATCAGAAATTATAATGTTTATTTAAAATATTTTGAACCAAGCTTAACTTAGCTTCTGCACCGAAAAAATGTAATTTGAAAATAAAACAAAGCAGGTCATAATCTTTCGCGTCATTTGACAGGTGACGAAAGACATTTTACGGGAGGATAATTCTTTCTACGGATGGAAGGAAGTGAAATTATTTAGATTTAACTTAAGTGAACAAATTATTTACCCCGTTACTTTTAAGGAAAACTTTCAGCGCTCTAATTTTTTAATTCTTTTTTTTTTTTTTGTACTTAGCTTTCATCTTTACGTTTACGATGCTTTATGGAAAATATAAAGAAATTAAAAAATAAGACTGTTAAGAAGAGTGAGATTAAATTTCATAAGAAAGGTATAGGTACCTTTCTTATGAAATTTTATCAGAAGTGTACATAAAATACTATAATTTTATGTACATTTATTACATTTTACTGTGTTATTTATATTTCCATTCATTTTATTATTAATTTTGATATTTCATTTATGGAAAAATGTCATCTGAGATTAATATAAAAATAGGATCATATAAATTTCATAAGATGATACTGATACTTGTAGGTACCCTTCTCAGTTGAAATTGAAAAATCAAATAAACTTCTCCACACGTGTTTCGCAAAAAAGTAAAAAGACCTTCCTTTAACTAACAGCGGAGAACAATGCTTAACTCAAATAACGCAACTTAATTCAAATTGTATTCTGATTGGTCTTCCGTACTTTATAAGGCTTTTAACTAATTTTATAATATTTTAACAACCTAAAAATCCATTACAAAATCACAAGTAATTATATTAAAAATTCATTTTTCATCGAAAAAAATTTTTGCTTTCAGAAAATATTGTCCATATTAATAAAAACAACTGAAAGCAAAAAAGCATTTGAAATTAAATAATATCTTTGTTTTGTTTTATTGAGTTTTTCCACTTAATTACAATATTGTCACCTGAAAGAAAGTAATGCAGAATTTTAATAAACGATTTTTAAATTATTAAAATTTTAAAACATGAAACAAATTCTTGTAAAAATTCATTATTCATAGAAAAATTTTTTTTTCTTCATATATCTTATTTATAAAAGCAATTAAAAACTTTTTTTAATTAAATAATGTCAGTTTTATTGCATTTGTTTGTTTTTTTTTCTTTTTTAGTTTTACCATTCGGAGCAGTAGTTTGAAAAAAAAGAAGAAAAGAAAAAAAAGAGGATGCTTTTTCATAAATTCTCCAAGGAGTCCTACACTTAACATAACTAATAAAAATATTTATGGAAAGAAAATTTAATTTCTCGAAATTTCATGAAATTAAGTAAGTGGGTGGGGGTAGTATATATGGAAAAAAAAAAAAATCAAAAATAATTTCATTCATCTGTGTATAAATCATGAAAGTTTCATTAAAACTGACAATTATTTGATTTTTGGAAGAATACTATGGTCTTTCCTCTTAAGCATTTTGATGATAAAGCATTGTTTATTTTTGGGGACTTTATGCAGTTTTTTTCAACGAGCAAATGGAAGTAACTAAAAAGTTTACACTTGAATTTAGAAGAGATGATGTGCCTTCTCAACTTCGATATTTGACTTGTTTCCACACCTCAAAATTTTTTAATAAAAAAAAAGTATTCGCTTAATTTTATTTTTTTTTTTTTCCCCCGATGTAGTTTATTGTCATTTATTGACTGTTTTCAAGAAAATTCAAGTTTTAAAACGAGATGAGTGATTTGAAAAAAAAAGTAGAATTCTATTCATAAAGTTTGTATAATGTTAAAATGGACACAAATTTTGTATCGCGACATTATGACATCGAACGTTCTGACTTCTGGGTAGAACTGCTAAAAACTGAACACAGGTTTTTCGTTTGTGTCTACGATTAGGTGGGTCATTATTACCATCTGAAACAGCTCTTATAAGTTTAGGTTTAAGGCTACCTCTTAAACATCTTGTATCTAACCAAAGCTAATCTTATCATTAAAACAAATTTAAGGTGAATTCTGACCTCAAATTCAATCATACCAGAAATGAAACAGAAGATAAATCTACAGTACAGTTTTAGCTTTTAGACTTGTATTTTTATTTTATTTTTAACGTATTCAAAAAACAAAACAAAACAGAAGCGACATAGAAACTAATCAACCATATCTTACGTTTAACGAACCCCTTCCGCCAATTATTTCTGGAAAACCGTTTCATTTTCAGACGATTTGTTTTATTTAAATTAATATAGTAACTAAGAAACTGAAGCACCTTGAAGTAGCCTAGTAGTGGCTAACATCAAATGAGTTCACAATTGGACACGTTTCATGTTCAGGGCATAAGGAGAATCAAGATCAACATATAACACACGTCTATAGCTGATTTTTGAATATTATGTTTTGGACGTGTTTCAGTAAAAACGTATATACATGTCTACGCAGGCAACAAAATTTAAATTTTACTCACCTCAAGACCAATAATGAATTGGCAAAATGGTGGCATCAATTTGCTACTGTTGCATTCGACAATTTTCGTGAATTTCTATTAAAATTAAATCCGCTTTTTTCTTAATCTTTAGACATATTCCTTAATTTATTTTTTTTTTGTTTTTGTCGAAAAGTTTTCTAAAATAGAATTATATATGAAATAAATATTTTTACACACGAGCGAGACATCGTTCTCTTGCTGCGGCTTCTTTGCTTTATATATATATATATATATATATATATATATATATATATATATATATATATATATATATATATTAACTATATGAATTTTTGTTTCTAAATTACCAAACAGCAATAACAGTAATTTCCATCTTTAAATGAATAACTGGGAAAGAGAGAAAACTACAATTATAAACCTATAAAGAAAACTGAACGAGATTTTTTAAATGAAACATTTAAATTTCAATAGATGTTTTCATTGAAAAAAGTCTTCGTCAGGGCAAAATATTAAGAGGAGAAAAATTAGAAATTTGAGGAAGTGATAATTGTCGATAACAATTTGCTTTAAAAAGTTAATTATCAGAATGCATCTTTTCTTTAAATTGAAGTATTTATTTTAAATTATGAAAATTTGAGTAAAAAATATAGCAAGATCGCTTTTTTTTAGATTACGAAGTAAACCGTGTCATTTTATTTTCGAACAATTAATTTTGAGCGAACTTGTTGCGGCGCTAAGCAGGTTGACTGTTAACCCCGCAAACGGAAAAATAATATAAGATAATACGATCGAAGCAAGGACAACAAAAACGAGGATGTAAAAGTTTAAGCCAAATTTTATTAAATAAATCTGGCACGAATATATACAGATAATCGTTTGTAGTAGTTCGGTCGTGTAGTCTTGGAGGAGCGTTGTCAGGTTTCAAGGCGACTGCTTGGAGGTAGGCCGAATGGAAACAGGGATGTCCGAGGTCCAGTCGATCCCTGGATGTCTGTACTTGAGTAAAGGGTGCGTCGGCGCTTGCAGAGAGAGAGGATCGACGCGCACAGTGCTGTGGTGTAGTCAGTTCGTCCTTGGGTGGAGTGTCGCGCAGGATCGCAGCTTGGTAGTCCTAATAAAAGGACGCAGCTAGGTTAGTCCTGAAAAGCACTATTGCATATTATGTAATCGAGGGCAGACTATTGCATATCATGTAACCGAGGATAGGCTAGTGCATATCATGTAGCCGAGGATAGGCTGCTGCTGCTGTCTGCTGGCCTTGGCTGCTGCTGCTGGCCTTGGCTGCTGCTGATGATGAGGAGGCCGGACTGTTCTGCTGGCTCTAGCTGCTGCTGATGTCTGCTGGCCTTGGCTGCTGCTGATGAGGAGGCCGGACTGCTCTGCTGGCTCTAGCTGCTGCTGCTGCTGATGATGAGGAGGCCGGACTGCTCTGCTGGCTCTAGCTGCTGCTGATGTCTGCTGGCCTTGGCTGCTGCTGATGAGGAGGCCGGACTGCTCTGCTGGCTCTAGCTGCTGCTGCTGCTGCTGATGATGATGAGGAGGCCGGAGGCTGCTGCTGATGTCTGCTGGCCTTGGCTGCTGCTGATGAGGAGGCCGGACTGCTCTGCTGGCTCTAGCTGCTGCTGCTGCTGATGATGATGATGAGGAGGCCGGACTGTGCTAGCTGGCTGATGTCTGCTGGCCTTGGCTGCTGCTGCTTCGTGTGGTCAGCGTAGGTGAGAGGGGGGAGCTCGTCGCTCAACCCCGAGGCCAAAAATCAGCCGAGAAGAATAATTTGGTGGAAAAAATCCGCTGTGTATATATAGGCTGAGGTCGGCAACGTAGCCTGTCAGCGATATATTTGGGGTGATGACTGAAAATTACCTTCTACTTTTTGGCTGTACACATGGATTCCATTCGGACACCATGTGTATATAAAGTAGTTTCTGGTAATTGTTTTTGGTTAGGAAAGTTAGTATATGTAAATGTTTCGTTTTTTCTTAGTTTGTGTGAGACGTTGACTGAAAAACGCTTAGTCACCGGAAGTTAACGGCATTCGTTATGTTTTCCGCGGTGACGCTTTTAGATGTTTGAGTAGCCGGCAGTAACTTCCGGCCGGGTGCGATAAACTACACATGGAGTGTACGTGAAATGTGCTTCTTTAGTGTTCTTTTTAAGTCAAGAAAATGAGAATTTTATTTCTTTTAAAGAAAGAAAGAAGTAGGATTGATACTAGATCAAGGATTCAAGAAATGCGTTCTAACTTCTGGGATATTACCAATTATCCGAAAGAATTCTGGTAGTCAAGCTGAAAGGAAAGCGTTTCAACGTAGCTATAAAATAGTGTATGCACCGACAGCACAAAGTAAGGAATAAGAAATCGAATCTTTCCACTCCATGCTAGACAATGCCAAGGCTCGTTGCAAATTGCAAGAAGTCCTAATTATCATGGGAGACCAGGACGCCAAAATAAGCAAGGAGAATGTTGCAGACTGCCGAATGTGTATGTTGATTTATCAGAAGGATTCTTTTGTGCGTGTTCTAAAACATTCATCCACAACAATTAAAAGAGAGAAAGAGCATTGAAGACAAAACATGGAAGATGGATCAAAAGTAAAACAAAGATTTTTAAAGGCATAAAAATAACACCAATTTATGTACAATTTATACATATACATATACTTTGGATATATTTGTGTAATTGAGGATAGCTAAGTTAACTTATGAAGAGTGTTTTTCTGGAGTTTGAACGTGTTTAAAGCTTTTGTTGAGATTTGCACCAAATTAAACTAAGTAAATAAACGTAAATAAAAGTGTCTCATTTGCGAGTTCAGTCCTTATTGTGTGTGCGTAAATTATCTTGCATTAATGTTCAGAGTTGGTAGGAGTTGTGTACCTTTAGTTGTGTTAGAAGTTTGTTTGATTAATTACAAATACTTGTTAGGTAGTAAGTATATATTACTTTCTGAAGTATTGTAAATGATTGTCTGTAATTGTTCCTGAGAGAGCGTGATTGTATTTGCTGAGTCAGAGAAGTTTTTCTTTTCTTTTGCGCGGTAAAGGTTATTTGGTCAAGGTTTTGACTTGCGTGGAATTGTTTGGCATCTCTTCAGGAGTGGAAATCTGACTGTTTGCGTCAATTTGGATTTTCCTTTATATAGATTTCGGGAAATAAAACTGGCTCCAGGCCGTTGGGCACGAAAAGACATTTTCACGTGAACTTGTTATAGTTCCAAGGGTCTGGACCAATGAGAAGTCTCGCTTGCCGAAATTAGAGTGTTGATTCGTTGTTATGTTATTTGGTGCAAAGTGAATTATACCGGAGGGGTGAAAGGTTAGGATTATTCCAATAAGAAGACTAGGGATATAGCCGAAAAATTCGGACTAGGAACTCGCAACGAACGTAGAGAAAAATGGATTCAATGGTGCACGGCAAATGACGAGGGAATAGCCAGCACATGGTCCCAAGAACATCCGAAACAATTATGGACACGGAGGAGCCCAGTAGGAGAAACTAACCAAATTGACTACATAACTATCAACAAAAGATTCAAAAATGCAATGGTTCACTGCAAAACCTACCTAAGTGCCGGCAGAAGAAGCGATCATCACCCCGTTAAGAGTGAAACTGTAGTGGTAAGTTAATAAAGACCATTTGTAGATGTCTGTTTGTTAACATAACCACCCGATTTATATTTAACGCAAAATACCACAAAATATGAAACACAAGAAAGACCAAAAACGGTTTTATAAAAACAACATTTATATTTATTTTTATGTAATGATGTACATGCGTAGAGGTTACTATTTTGTTGGTGCTATGTCCCTTTGACTGAATTAAAATTTTACAGATGAAATTGGAATATTTTTATCTGAGTTCACAAAAGTTGAATGAATTATAAAGCTGAGAAATGCTGAATAAACTTGTAGCTTTAGAAGAGTATTTCAAAGAGAAAAGTTCTTGTTGCTTGTTTGGAAATGTTTTGTATGTTTGTAATGTACGTGCTTGCGTGAATATGTTTTTAACGTCTCACTGCACATAGTCGAGACGGGATCTTTTAAGGTTACATCTTCGCAGGAAAAGAGAAGAGGAGAGAGTGAGCAAGCTTGTGTCTGCTATTTATAATTAATGTAATCACGTGATCGGCTCCCAGGAAAATGGCGGGAAACGACTAGTTCACGCACTGGAAAATTATTTGTACGGGGGTGGATTGCAATACCCTTTTGTGTGTTTATTGGCCAATTGGAAGCTGATATTTCCTGAAAATCTGTATGAAGTTGGGTAAGCTCTTTAATTCACTTTTTTGCACAGATTTGTACAAAATTCAACATTGATAAGAAAGTGGTAGCGGGATGCTAAAAAACTATGGAAACTGAAGAAGCCTAACGCAGCACCCAAATCGCAATATAACTTTAGAGTTCTATCTTTAATTAATTTTGAAACATGAATGCATTTCAGAAAATATTGCTGTTTTCGAAATAATTTCAATATAAATTTTATGTGGTAAAATGTTATACTTAATTCATACAAAAGTAGGGTCTTCAATCAGAGGCTAGTATTAATTTAAAACTGTATAACGCCTACACATTCTTTAGAATTCTAACGGTTTTTCTTGAGCAACCATGTGACCCAAGTATGTATAAACTAAAGCGCGCGTTCAATTCGTCTTTACTGGACAGGCGGAACTTTCAGGAACTATACTATAGTGCAGCAGGAACTAGTGTGGGTGGTTATCAGGAATAGGTGGTGGGAGAGGCTTAGGAATAGGATTAGGTCCTTCTCCACCGAGTTTAGCAAACAGCTCGTGCTCGATAAGGCTAACAAGGTGAAGGTTCTTAAGGATGACTGGGTTTGATCCCCTAGAGATAGCCTTTGCTAGGGAGGCCCTAGAGCGTTATACTAACGAGGACTATATGGGCCAGGTAATTAGACAAGGGTTAAGCAAGATGTCTTCAGAAGCTGTGAATATGGGCGCAGAATTGCGTAAGGAAGAGATTCATCGAGGTTCCGGTCGTTATATCTGTGAGCTCAAAACCCCGGAGGATCATACTCTTCGGGACACTGACGACATGTGTGAGGCGTTTCGGCAGCATTTCGAGAGCCTGGTCTCCGCAATGAGGAGTTTTGTAGCTATTTGGCGGACTTTCCTTGGCTTTTTCCGACTGAAGCGGCTAACTGCAAGGAGGAGATCACGGAGGGCGAAGTCTACGCAGCATTGAAGAAGGTCGACAGAGGCAAGTCGCTCAGTTTGGATGCTTTGCCCTATGAATTGTACTTGAGGCTGTCGCACATCTTTGTCCCGATTTTGACTGTCGTGTTCAACAACTGGTTCCGCCAGGGTCCGTCCTCGACCGGGTTCACCATGGGTGTGATCACACTTTTGAAAAAGGGCAAGGGTGTTGGGCAGGATTTAGACAACTGCTTAACACAGAGTTAAAGATTTTGGCTAAGATCCTGCAGTAGCGCATGCATTCAGTTTCCGAGTTTCTTTTGGGTCCTGAGCAGACTTGCGATGTGAAGGGCCGAACAATTCAAAGCGATCTGCATCAGATCCGCACGATCCTAGAAGGTGTAAAAGACAATTATGAGGCTGCGCTGATCATTTTATATTAGTCCAAGGCAGTTGATAGGGTCAACCATTGTTACCTTGCTGTTGTGCTTCAGGCCGCCGGATTCGAACCCAACTTCTGCCACTGGATTAGCCTGCTGTATCGCTCCCCCAGTATTTGGTACAGGTAATCGGGAATCTGTCGGGTGCTTTCGCTCTAACTCGGTCCGTTCGTCATGGTTGTCCACTGACGTCCCTACTTTACACTTTGGTGTTTGAGCCTCTCCTTCGCCGGCTAAGGGACGGGGCGTGCAGTCTGGCCCTACGTAGAATCGCTGTCCCTGAAGGGGCTCGAGCCAGGGTTTCCGCATACGCCGATGACGTATCTACTTTCGTGTCGTCCCGCAGTGACATTGAGCCGGTACTGAAGGCGCTTGAACGGTACGAAAAGGTTACAGGGATCAAGATTAACCGCGACAAGTCTTCCGGCTTGCGGTTAGGTGCTTAAAAGGGGTCGATCTTCCAGGGCTCTTTGGTTGGACGGACGGTCCTCCCACATTCTTGGAGTGTGGTGTGGACCGGACCTCCAGCTGGAGAAAATTGGTCAGAAGTACAGGCAAAGAAGGGCAGCGCGGAGTCGTGTGCCACTTACGTCTTGTCCTTTACCTCTTTCTGTACTTTCTCTCTGTAAGGATCATAAGAAGGCACTCGAGCGCTTGCAATCCTCCATTTTATGGAGGGGAAGCAAGCATAAGGTCAACAGAGAAGTCTGTGCACAAAGTCCATGCCACGAGGGGCTAGGAATGCCGCACTTGGCGAGTCACAAGCTCGCCTCGAGTTTGGCTTTCCTACAGGACAGGGGATTCGATTATGGCGGGGATTGTAAGGGACGCCTTCCCTTTCCTTACTATCAGTTCTCCCATCTCGCGGGTTGAGCGCCATCGTAAACCCCGGGTTCAATCCGATTTCCTTCGTGAGTGTCGATATGCCTTGACGCTCATTCCTCAGTCCAGTGACCTTTCTCAGTCTAGGAAACTCTTCTATCGGGAACTAGTGGTGGTGGGAGGGGTTATGAAGAATCCACTGCGTGACCGTCTCGG